GTTGATCATGCTAGATAACACATTCTCTCCCAGAAACTGTAACTATGGTCTGCTCAGCATAGTTGCAGTATAAACCACAGGTGAGCTCTGCAGGTGCTGAACAAACAAAATATTCCTGAGCGAGGCGTCTGCAATAGGGATTGGCTAGCTGCCCTAGTAGATGGGTATTCTCAAATATGAATGTCCAGCTATTATATATAATATATATATATATATATATATATATATTTGAAGTTTTTCTGGATCTGTATGAATATATGCAAAAAATGGGATTTTCTCTATTAAAAAAGAAAAAGATCACAAGTTAAATTTTTTTATCATCAATATTACATGATATTTTCTTTGACAAATAAGGGGATGAAAGAATTTGGTGGAAATATAAGTGGGAGACCAATGAGTAAATTTATCTTTCCTTTTTATGAACTTATTACTCCATTAAAATAAACATGAACAAACAAAATAAATAAATGATCATCATATCATCAGATATGTTCCATTTCAGTTTTCAAATGATTATGTTTAGCTTGAATGTAATAAGAAGAATTTATTTATGAAATATATTAAGAAACAAAGAACTCATGTAGCAAAGAATCAGTAAACAGGATAGCAATCAAACAGCTGAAATGTATGCAGGAATTTGAGAAAAACTTGATAAAAGTGAAAAAAACAAAATAAATAGCAGCATTGTTCTGTCATATCTTTTGATTTATGAGAAAAAGTGATTATTAATCACCCCATAAAAATAAGAATTTTAGCAAGTGCTAAAGTTAAATGTTTTTCCTTAAAATCAGAAAGGAAAAAAATGTTTTTCTTTTATGTGTTTATAGATTTTAATTGTTTTTTTTTTTTTTTAACAGAGTCAGTTATCTCAGCTTTCAATCAATATTTGCATCTTGTTATCCAAATCTTCAAGAACATCTGATCAACAGTACCAAACTGCATTGAATATTAATAATAGATATTTAAGTGGCATGCTCGGTTGTAGGTGAAGCTGGAGCTGAAGACAATAAGTTACCAACCCCAGGCAATGTATGCAAAATCTCTTCTGTGTTGGGAGAAGTGAGTTTGCAGTTCGAGTTGGCTAGGGCAACAAAGTTAAATGGTATCAATGTCACCTAAAAGTGTCGCTGGTTTTTGGATTAGATGAATTTGGAATTGGAGATATGCTCACACCTCCTTCAAAAGTCAATAATCATTCAAAATAACAAATCATTTGGATAAGTGAAGATGCAAAGTTATTCACAACAACAAGCTGTATATTTGACATACTGTTGCCACCATTATTATTGCTACTAAATCCTTGTAACTAATGTAGTTATTACATTATGTTATTGTTTATTAAAATCCACTTTTAAGTAAAATCAACATTTACATATTCTTAAAGTTATTGCCATATGTATGAATGGGATTCTGTTTGATTCAAATCTTCATGTTTATATTTAATTAGAAGCATTTAATTTTAGTAAATAAATGTTTTGTTATATTTTTCATTATTAAAACACACCAGGGTTGTCAAAAGAGCATTTCCAGGATGAATATTTTAAAATTACAGTACATGGATTAGCATACTAATTATGTCAATAACAAAATTTAGGTCAGTATTTCAAGCAATATTAATGGTAAAAAAGTTGATTTCAATAAAATGATTTGAGATATTGACTAAAAACACTCATTTGTGACTAGTAAAGATTATTCTACAAATTAAAAAAAAAATGAAAATTCTTAAAAAACAAAAAAATTAGTTTGTAGAATTTTGAAAAAGTTTCATAATTCTAAGTAGCCTCATGAGTTAATAAAAAAGAATTAAAGAGGAATTATAGAACTGGTCTCAATGAACTTTTGAAAGCAGAAAGAAAAAACAGGTAAATGAGGCAAGTTTTACATGAAAAATGCACTATTTATGATGTGAGTGGAGAATTTTAATGTCTTGGCTTAATTTGTTTTGTTAAATTTTACAGTGAGAACATGAAATGAGTCAAATTTTATTCCAATCTGTTTTGACGTTAACTGTATATTCAGCCAAAATAAAACAGAAATACTTAATATCAATAGTGCGTGTTTTATTTTTTAAACTTAAAACAAAGACAAAAGAAAAACTACATAACCAGAAGAAATTTTTACAGGTTCTGTCTCTTAGATGGTGCAAATCCATTTTTCGTTTACTAAGGGAAGCAACTCTTGTATTTTTTTTTGTTTGCATCGCTGTAATGGATGCATTCCCTTTTTTTTCTTAAGCTCTTACATTGATATTATTATTAATCAATAATCGATCATTATAATCAATCAATAATCGATCGTTTTGGTTTTTTTAAAGTGTAACGTCAGTTATATGAACAACTTTTCAGTGACCCGTAAATGTTTAGAACTTACGCATAAATATAAATAAAAAATAAAAAAATAAAAATGATCAATCATCATCATTTCCATGAACTTTTAGAGACTTAACGTCATCGGTGAACTCAGTGTATTTCTTGTGTATTTCTTTTACGTCATGATTAATTCCCCTTTCAGTTCCGTATTTTCGCTAACACAGAATATTCCTTTAAAAATGTTTTTTTTTTTTTAATAATTAAAATTATTCTATTTATAAAATATCATGATTTTGTTGTAAAGGAATATTCTGACTTTATTTGAGTGAAGGAATATCAACCATACCTCCACGAATTCGGCACATGTAAGGTTTAAAATGAATTTTAAAAAATGAAAAGCCTTCCTGAATCTTTCAATTTAGCTTTAAATGAAGGCTAAAGGATTAAATTTTCAGTGTCCCATAAATATTTAGAACTTATACATAAATATGAAAAAAAAAAAAAAATGAATGGTCGATCATCGCTATTTCCATGAACTTTTAAACTTTTATAACTGTATCTCCTGTTGGAAACTCTTTATTTTATTTTAGTCAGAGGTTTATATATTGTTAGCGAAGTTGAAAGAGGCTCCAATTAAGTTGTTGATTATTTCAAGCGCGCTCATTTCTTATTGATCAACATATATTTATTTAGGATTGTAGTTAATCAACTTCAACCGGAAGTTATGCGTGGAGCCTAAAGCGCAAAGATTTGAAGTACGTCATTATGTTTTATTTAAGCTATGAAAGAAGTAACTTCCTATTTCTACTCTTAGTTTCACTACATAACTTTTCTCCCAGAAAACTGAGTGTGATTTGGTGTTTTCTTTTTGTGTGTTGGTTTTCAGTAGTGTAAATATCTTCCCTTGTCTCCATTTACCGATTCTACTGAATTTAGTTTTAGTTATTTGTTTTTCATCATCAGCTCCATCAACATGAAACTGGGAATTATTCAATTTCGGATTTCTTTCGACAGAATCCATTGACTTTGTAGTTTTAGAAATATATGCTGATTTTAGTCTGTTAATGAAAACATTTCTATGCAAATTATCGGACATTTATGATTGTAAAATATTTATTATATCGCCTTATTACTTGGAATGGGCCTGTGTACGGCGCTTCCAAAGGTTTTCCTATTCTGTCCGTTCTCAGCCAAATATATTCACAGCTATGTAAATCTTTAGGAATATATGAATTAGGTATAGAGTGTAGATGTCCGCTGGAAAATTTGTCCATGTCAAATGTTTGCATCTCTTCAGCTAAAGCCTTGATACGAGAGTTTGTTAATTCTAGTTCTTCATATTTAGAAGGATCAATTAACAATCGAGGAACTTGAGCTTGACTTCTTGTTAGTGCAGTAAACTGGAAATAGATTTAATGTTCGTAATGTTGAATTGTGTCCTTCCATTATGGAAAACCAAGCGATTGCCTGAGTTAACTCCTTTAGTTCGTTAACCCTTTCACCAGGGGTCTCTCTTTCCTGGCTATAAATAGTCGCTGACCCTTCGTCTCTTCCTCTTTTTCCTCAGGCTTACCACTTCGCAGATGTGAACGCTCACAGATACAGCGTTTCCCTAATGTTGGGAACACGCTAAGCACAATACACGTACGTACGAACACTCACCACAACGCAACACACACACCACGCATAATATTTACCACACGCACTCTGTCCATGTAATTTGTAACCTTTCTTGTTGTTATTAATACATATATTTGTTTACATATATTAATCGGTCTTGTGTTTGTTTTTCTTTGCCTTCTTTAGTCTTAATTAAAGTCCAACTTTCTCATGTAGTTGGACCGGCTAGCAGGAAATTTCTACCCACATGTTTCATCTACTTCTACTCAACATCACAGCCACGGTCGTCTACACGATCACGTTAATTTCTATAAATACGTGTCTTTTGATTGTCACGGCTTGTATCGATGGATCTTGGTTGATCAAACATTTGTTCCGCGTCGATTCATTTTTCCTGCCATCGTTATCATTGTTGAAGAAATCGTTTAAGTTTGGTGGTAGTAGCAGTAGTTCAGTTTTTGATGATTGGTATTTCGTAAATTAGTTTGGGTTGGTCACCAGGTTAAATTTGGTAATGTATGTGAAAAATTTTGTCTTGGTGCTTGGTATTTGCGTAAAAATATTACCACATCGTGTTCACCAGTTTATAGTGGGGGGGGGTCGATTTTGGCCTTGTAAGGATTAGCCCACGATAAAAGATGTATGAATGAGTAAATAAAACACGATAAACTACATCTTAAGAACAGCCAAGCCTGAAGTATAACAATAATAATTTATATAAACATTAATAAGTAGTTTCGTATATAACTATTGTCCTAACGATAATACGATGGCAGTGACAAAGATAAAAAAGGTATTTTGCTGCTTTTAAAGATTTGTTTCAACTTTGTCTAAGAGACATTTATTTGGAAGAGGTGTTTTTATTCCCAAGAAGAGGAATTATTGCCTTTGATTTGTTTGTATTGTTGACTCGGAGAGTCAACGTTTTATTTGGCAGAGTCATTCGATGCGAGGAAAGCTGCCCCATTCTCGTTCTCTGTTTAAAATGAGATTTAAAATATTTTAAATAGATATTTATTTTAAAATTTGATCTTAGCCTAGGTTAGGCGTTGTGTTTTCTAATTTTCGCTTTCAGCTCCTAAGAAAGAGAAAAAGAATTTCTGAAGAAGTAAAAGAAATGTATTTGAAGAAAAAAGGAAGAGAAAAGAGATTTGTGGAAGAAAGAAGAGAAAAGTATCTGAAGAAATTGACTGTTAAAAGATTTTAATACAAGAAAGAAAAGGTTGAAAAAAGAAAAGATATTTAAGTTGTCAGTTTAAATGATGATACATACTAACAAATTTATTAATGTATATAAATCCTTTTGTTTATCATTATGTTTTGTTACTGCTTAGCATATGGAACAATATGCATGTAATTTACGTGGAAAACTAAATTAGTTGTCCACGGAGCCAGAATAAAGCGACTTCATCGACCAAAGAAAAATTTCTGACTGAAGAAAATATCTCCTGATCAAAGGGAGATGCTGTCTCCTGCTTCCAACTCCAAAAAGAAAAAAAAAAAAAAGGCGGCAATCTCTCCCGATCAAAGAGAGGCTCCGTTTCCCGTCTCAAACCCCATAAAGAGGCGTCAATAAAAAAAAAACCATCGTCTACTTTGCTATCAGAGGCGTATCGTTCCAAATTTCAATACAGTGTAACCCGGATATAAGAGAGTTGTCGGGACCGGAGAAGAAGTCTCTTATATCCGGGTTTGGTCTATTTTATATACATTAACTAACACAGGCTCTAATTTGGGACCAGAGAAACTCTCTCTTATATCCGGGTGTATATTAAATATTTCTTCACTGAAGTTATTGAAATGTCTTTGAATTTTAATATTCTAAAATTTTGCAAATAAAAAAAGAATTCTCAAAGAAGACGTTCCCAAGAATATATTTGTAACATGGTCTACATTATCCAACATCTCTTTCTCACGTCAAGCTATTAATAAGAGAATAGTATGGCCAGAATAATGCCAAGGAATCGCAGAGAAGTCTACCCGCGAGGTTCCTAATCATTTTTACTTACTTATATCTGAATATATAATGCAGTTCTCATTGTAAACTGAATATCACACTAATAAAGAGATTCACTGTGAACTCTGGTGACTTATTGAACTTTACAAGTTCACTAAATGGTTGCATATGAAAGTGCATTTAACTAGTCATGTTTTCTTCCTTGTTGGGAATATATGAGAAATAAGATATCATAGGATTATTTGCCCTTGGCAGTTTTAAAGTTAGCCTTCATTTCAACGTCAAACATTTTCTTGAATTTCATTGATTGATAAATATAAAATAAGCTTGAGAAATTTCCATACCAAAACAATCAAATTTTGTACAAAAGTAGGTTGGGACTTTAGATTCATTTAATTTCTCAGAAGCTTTTTTCGTAAGTATCGGTTGCGTGTCTGAACCTCGTCCCAAACAAAATATACAACAAACATAAGATTTCAATGATTAAAAACGAGACATATATATATCAAACAAATAAAGCATTTTATATACAATTAAACTTTTTACAACTTGAAGTAAAATTTGGAATGATGCGTGTGTTAATTGTATTTGTTATGAAATGTTTGATGTCGCTGGTCTTATATTTGTTGTTTTCGTGTTTGTGTATGAAAGTTCGTAATTATTAGATTTTAGAGTTTTTGAATAAGTTTGCGAAAGTTGTCTGCCTTGGAACGTTGTTCGTGTTTATGTTCGTAGTTCGTATTTCTTATTTTTTTTGTAAGGATTTGTGAATCAATGTATATAAGAAATTTAGTTCGGAGTTCGAAAGTAGTTTGTAGATTGTTCCAGATGAGTCAGTGGAAAATTCGTTAAAATAATGCGCGGCAAAATTATGTCTTCGAGTGTCGTGGGTTAATTAGGCAATCGATCGGCGAGTTCGCTAGACTGAGATATTCAGTCACCCACCCACGAGGGTGTCATGCGGCACAAGGCCTTTTTTAATGTGGGCATTCCCGAGCCATTAGGCTCAGCCAAAAAATAGCCCATTTGAACCCGTATAAACGGGTTCAGGGCCGGTTTAACCTCCCCGAAGGAGACTTCGCCCTTCGGCGTAGCCTCCTTCGGGTTCCTCTCCGTCCGGAGACAGAGAGTTGAACCGTGCAGTCGCTCAAAAAGTGAGCTGGACTGACTGATTGGGTTTGTTTTCTCTCCCTTTTATAACAAATTGGTCCTCGAAAGTGGCTCAGGATGTTTTGGCGCAATTCTTGTTTTGGTAGGCGATCTACCAATCGAATTGCTTGATTTGATTCCTGGTGTTTTTATTGGTTGAGCGTTTTTTTGTGCGTAGGTGTCATTTTGGATTATGCTTTTTTAGGGTTGGAGAAGGTTATAAAATTAGAAGAGTCCACATACCTCCCCCCAGATTAATGCCATGGTGAATGAGCATTAATATGTAATGTAGGTTCGGTACTTAGTTGGCCAGTGGACTTTTCTTCCTGATTTTGTCCGGGTAGACTGTGTGGATTCGGTCGTATCGGTAGTTGTTTGCGTTTCTGTTTGTTCTGTTGTCGTTGGTTTTGTTATTGTTCGATCTGTGTCATCGTGTTGCAGATATGCTGGTTTGAGACGGTCTATACTGACGGTATTCTGCTTTCCGGCGATATCAATTATGAAGAATTTTGGTGTCTTAGATATTACTAAGTGTGGACCTGTATAGTTGGGTGTTAATGGTTTTCGCACAGTGTCGCGCCTTAAGAAAACGTATTCTGCTGAATGTAGATCTGCTGGCACGTAAAAAGGTTTTTTATACGTTCTTGTAGGTGTATAGATAACGTCCATCATTTTCTTTTTTAGATCCGCCACAAAGTAATTCGTTGGTGTAGATGTCGTCTCGTTGTGAAATATTTGTCCAGGCAGCGTTGTTGCTTTACCGAAAACTAACTCTGCACTGGTGCATTTTAGATCCAGCTTTATTGTATTTCGCAGCGCAAGCATCACAAATGGTAGCTTATCTACCCACGTACGAGCACTGGTAGACGCTGTTAGTGCGTACTTGAGCTGTCTATGGAATCTCTCCACTATTCCGTTACTGCACGGATGGTATGCGGTGGTAGAGATGTGTTTTTATGCCTAAAATGTTGACAAATTCATTGAATAGCGTCGATTGAAATTGGGGACCTCTGTCAGTTGTGATAACTGCAGGGCATCCAAATATAGAAATCCAGTTGTTGAAAATTGCGTTAGCGACCGTTTCTGCCGTTATTGATGTTAAAGGTATCGCAACTGGCCATCGCGTAAAGCGGTCAATGATCGTTAGTATGTATTCGTGTCCATTAATTCTTTCGAGTGGACCGACTAAGTCTGCATGAATGTGCGTGAATCGTCCATCTGGTGTTGCGAACGACGATGATTGTGATTTGGTATGTCGGTGTATTTTCGTTGTCTGGCAACGTTGGCATGTGCGAGACCACTGTTTCACGTCTGAAGACATACCGGGCCAGACGTATCTGTCAGAAATGGTCCGCAGCGTAGCCTTCGCTCCAGGGTGAGCTGGCGAATGGAAATGATCGAAGATCGGTTTTCTTCGTGACAAAGGTAGGTAAGGTCGAGGATTACCTGTGGATACGTCACAATATACGAGCTCATTAGTGAAGGGTAAAGGTCTCCTTTCAATTTTGAGTGAGGTATCTTTTTGTACGGACTGTAATTCTTTGTCGTTTGCTTGTTCTTCAGCGAGAGTGTCGAAATTTAGTGATTGTGATTGCAATGCGTTGAGTGTTGTTCTTGACAATGCGTCCGCTACTGTGTTATGTTGTCCTTTTATGTATCGGATATCCGTTGTGTACTGGCTGATGTAATCCAGGTATCGTAGGTCTCGTGGATTTAATTTGTCGGCCTTTTGCATTTAATGCATATGTAAGCGGTTTATGGTCTGTGAAGATGACGAAATTTCTTCCTTCTAGAATGTGTCTAAAATGTCGTATTGCTAGGTATACTGCCAATAATTCTCTTGAGAACGTACTATATTTCCTCTGGGTAGTGTTTAACTTTATCGAGAAAAATGATAGTGGGTTCTCTACATCGTTCGTAATCTGGTGTAATACTGCGCCAATTGTGTCAGCTGATGCGTCTGTTGTGAGTGTTAGTTTAGAGTTTTCGGATGAATTGATGTATGACAATTTTGTGCATTTTGCAGTGCGTTCTTTGCATCGTTAAAAGATTTTAACTCGTCTTTGGATAGTACGATTTGCGGGTTCTTCTTTTTCGTTGCGACAGCATGTTTGTTAACGGCAATAGTATAGATGCACAGTTCGGTATGAATTGTCGGTAGTAGTTTATCATTCCTAAGAATCTTCGTAATTGCTTAATTGTGGAAGGTGTGGGATAATTTGTTATTGCTGTAATCTTATGATCCAAGGGCGACAATCCTTGTTGATTTATGACATGTCCAAGGAAGTTTAGCTGTGGTACCGCAAATATACATTTGTCAATGTTTAATTTTAAACCATAATGTTGTAAACGTTTTAGAACTGCATGCAAATGTTCCTTGTGTTCAACATGTGATTTACTTGCAATTAAAACATCGTCAATATACGCGTATGTGTACGGCATACCACGTAATACCTCGTCTATTAACCTTTGGAATGTCTGCGCGGCGTTTCGTAAACCAAATGGCATTCTTGTGAATTCAAATAGTCCGAATGGAGTGGTGATCGCAGTCTTTTGTATGTCGTCTTCCTCAATTGGTATCTGGTAGTAAGCCTTTTTGAGGTCTAGCTTAGTGAAGACTGTAGCACCTTCTAATGACAGCGCAAAATCTTTTATGTGCGGAATAGGGTATTTGTCCGGAATGGTTTGGGCATTCAGTAACCTGTAATCTCCGCATGGACGCCAACTGGTCGAATCCGCTTTCGTGACCATATGTAGAGGGCTGGCATAAGGACTTTTTGAAGGACGTATAATTCCTAGCTTGAGCATGTTGTCGAACTCATCTCTTGCGATCTTCAATTTGGCGGGATGAAGTCTACGTGGTTGTGAATAAACTGGGGAACCAGTTGTTTTAATGCTGTGCTTAGCATGATGTCTAACGGGTTCATTTCGTGACGACGGTGTTAACAGTGTCTGGTACTGACGTATTATTTCATCGTAGCCATTAGCTGTAGGTATAATATTCGTCAGTCCAATCGTTGAATGTTTCGAGGTAAAACCACAACGTTTTATATTCGTATTTGTGTCGGTTAGTGTCCGGGAAGCAAGTTCTACTGACAATGCATAATGAGTTAGGAAGTCCGCTCCCAGGATTGGCATTGAAACATCAGCTATTATGAATGTCCACGTTAGATCTCGTCTTAGACCTATATCTAAAGTTAGGGTCTTTTCACCATAGGTGGCAATAGGCGTGCCATTCGCGGCTTGTAGTTTAAATGTTGTGTTTTTTATCAGAAGTTGTTTGCTGCACCTCTTCTGTGGTATAACACTGATTTGGGCACCGGTGTCCACCAAAAAGTTTAGTCCGCTGGATTTATCATAAATATAGAAGAGACGGTTTGTTTTGAGTTGCCTGGCATCCAGCGTCTCTACTGGGTGCCAGGATATCCGTTTCCCTGTTGTTTGGCGGTTGGTGATTTCTTATAAGCACATGGTTGTCTGCACTTGTTAGCTTGCGCGCAAAAGTTTCATGATACCAACATTTTTCATTTTGGTATTCGTTTCGTTGTCGTTTATATCTGTGTCGAGAATTTGATCTCCAGCGTTGTTTATTTTGCTTGGTATAATAACTGTCATGTCTGCTTACATGAGCATTTTGTAGTTCGCGCAGCTGTATAGATATATTTTGCAAATCTGTTGATAACTTTTGGATTTGTTGATCTATGTCTGGCATGAGGCCATCTCGTGTGTTCGTTGCGGATATGTGTTTAACTGGAGCTGTGTCTGTTATTTTGTCCGCTATTATTGCCAATTTTTGGATGTCTACATCGTCTGCTAATGCGGCTAGTATTCTACAACCTCTGTAGTTTTGTCCATTCACATTTGCTTGAAAAAGTGGTCGATATGTCATTTCACCCAATAATGCATCCTCGGAGTAACTGTGATGGCTTGGCATCTTGACATTGGACAGGAGTTTAATTCTTTTCTCCTCGAATAGCCTGAATGTAATTTTTTTATTGTGTCGTATTTTTTTTTTTTTTTTCGGCAGCTATTTCTGCTGGTTTCCACGACTGCGGCAAATTTCGACTGTTGAGAAGTAATTCGTTGCTTGAAATATCGCGTCGAGTCTGAAACCATGTTTGTACATTTTGTTAAATGCAGGCATCTCGTTTGATTGTTGTTTAGATATTTTTGGTTCTGCCATTTGTAGTTTTGAGATTCTGTATTCGTTAAATTTTGTTGGTTGTGAATTTCTTCGGTGTGAACATCGTAATTACCAATTTTTTTTTTTTTTTTTTTTTTTTTTTTAGATGAGGTTTGCCTAATTTTGTTTGCCCACGTCTGGTTCGTCTTTTGTTTCGTACGTCAAGGTTATTAGGTTTTTTGGTTTGCACTCGTTTCAATAGTTTATTTGGTGTTTCCTTTGAACATCGGGTTATCAAATTTTGTTGTTCTGAGGTATGTCAATAAGCTCGTCACTCTTGTTGTATGTTCACTCACGTCGGAAGATCACCATTTTTTGTCGCTAGGTCGGGGTTATCAATTATGTTGCGTGTTCACTCACGTCGGAAGGTCACCATTTTGTTGGGACTTTAGATTCATTTAATTTCTCAGAAGGCTTTTTCGTAAGTATCGGTTGCGTGTCTGAACCTCGTCCCAAACAAAATATACAACAAACATAAGATTTCAATGATTAAAACGAGACATATATATATCAAACAAATAAAGCATTTTATATACAATTAAACTTTTTACAACTTGAAGTAAAATTTGGAATGATGCGTGTGTTAATTGTATTTGTTATGAAATGTTTGATGTCGCTGGTCTTATATTTGTTGTTTTCGTGTTTGTGTATGAAAGTTCGTAATTATTAGATTTTAGAGTTTTTGAATAAGTTTGCGAAAGTTGTCTGCCTTGGAACGTTGTTCGTGTTTATGTTCGTAGTTCGTATTTCTTATTTTTTGTAAGGATTTGTGAATCAATGTATATAAGAAATTTAGTTCGGAGTTCGAAAGTAGTTTGTAGATTGTTCCAGATGAGTCAGTGGAAAATTCGTTAAAATAATGCGCGGCAAAATTATGTCTTTGAGTGTCGTGGGTTAATTAGGCAATCGATCGGCGAGTTCGCTAGACTGACTGATTGGGTTTGTCTTCTCTCCCTTTTATAACAAATTGGTCCTCGAAAGTGGCTCAAAAAAGGATGGTTTTGGCGCAATTCTTGATTTTTTGGCGCAATTCTTGTAGGCGATCTACCAATCGAATTGCTTGATTTGATTCCTGGTGTTTTTTATTGGTTGAGCGTTTTTTTTTGTGCGTAGGTGTCATTTTGGATTATGCTTTTTTTAGGGTTGGAGAAGGTTATAAAATTAGAAGAGTCCACAATCTGATAGAGGCTAGAAATAAAATTAAAGTTTCATTCAACTAATTGTCATGTGGACTTTGCTAAATGAAAAGGTCTGTCGCAAGCTTTTGATATCACTTTTAGGTCAAATGACAGTAGTTATTTGATCATATTATTATTTATAAGAAATATAAACTCACATGACTTATTTTCATATTATGTCATATTTAAAAGGATATTACAGCATCTTAATAAACTATAATTCTAAAGATTTCATATATGTTATTTTGTGTAAGTGGTATTGACGGCATAAATCAACCCACATTTTTTTGGTTTTTACGAATGTAAGAAAATAAAAAAGCAAACAAGAGAAAGAATACAAGAAAATAACTTTTTCTTAACAGGTTCAATATTTATATTTATAAATGACAACAGTTTTCTTTTTAACAATAATATGAGTTAATTCCTTTGACTGGGATGTCGTTTTTAATTTTACTAATAAAACATTTTTTTTTATCGGAGCTCACAAAAACTGAATTAACTTGTCGTTCAAAATGTTCACTGAAAGAGAATCTTGTAAAGCTGAAAATATGTTGATAAACTTTAGCTTTAAAAGAATTTGGAGAAGTGAATGTTCGTTTGTTTTCGTTGCTCGTAGTTGAAATGTATAGTTTGTACTTATTTTCGTAAGATAATGACAAATTATTGAATAAGTTTTAACTTAAAACTTATTCAATTATTCAATTACAAGGATTAAAGTTACAAGGATTAAAATGTTGAAAATTGAGTTATCATGAAGAATTTTAAAATATTTTGGTAGAACTGGTAAAATACCGTAAAATGATCAACAATTACAAGTACAAGAAAGAATGGAAGAAAATGGGAAAAGCAATTTCTACAAACGCAGAAGGATCTCATCTGGTGTTATTGAAGTAACAGGTAACAAGCAATTAGATATTGAAAAGAAGCAACTGTTTCTGCAAGACGCAGTGTTTGGAATACCATAGAGATTTTCAAATATTTCTAGATGAGGACAAAATTTCAGAGATTACTTCAGAAGACATGAAGACATCTTTAGCATCGACTGTCAAAATTGGACATGATCAAAAAAGCTATGTCTTATTGCTTTTGAAAATTAGGGAACTGAAGAATACCTACAAAGTTCGTGGATTATATCTTGCCAAAAAGACGAACGAATTAACATTTGACGAAGCAGTGACATGTCTTTAAAAAATTCTTCAGTCAAAAAAAACATCACTCTTCACAGGAAGTGGAAAGGCCTTAACCTAGTAAAGGCAATGCGAGGATTATTTGTTTTGACAATCGTAAATAAAGATTGCGTTGACTTCAAACTAGTGGAATTGTTGTGACAATTTGAAATGTCCGGTGTTAATCTTGTTCAAGGGTCGGTTTCAACAAAAGATAGCGAAATGCGCAAAAGAATGCTTTCAAAATTACAAGATGAACCGGGACTAACACTTTTTACAATTATCGGAAGATTGCCAGAGATACCTAAGTGTATAAAAGAAAGACGCGAAGGACATTGAGGAGTTTTCTGTATCTCATATGTAAGTTAAAAACAAGTCTACGTTCTTCACCCTCCCGGAAAGAAAACAAAAATTTATAATAATGAAAAAAGATTCTCACCCTCCCAGAAAGAAAACAATGTTTCTATAATAAGAGAAAAAGTACAACATACAGGACAAATTATGATGAAAAATCGAAGCAATATTCCCCACATATACACACACATCAGCATGTTATTGGTGTGGAGGACAAGGATTTATGCTTTAGATGCGAAAAACTGTCTTGAGGTGGAAAAAGGGTCACAAGGCATCCCAATGTAGGAATAGAAAAAGATACTAGTAGAATAAGAGCTACTAGGATGCATAACGAAGACAATACCAACATAAGGAAATATGTGGAACTGGAAATTTTAAATAAAAAGATAAATTGCAACTGGATTCGGGTTCCGACCTCACAATAATCAACCTACAGACATGGAGAAAACTCGACAGACCTACCATATTACATACAAAAAATTGCAAGTCGGTTACAGGCAAAAGCAAATAAAATTTGAAGGAGAAATAATCGTGAATGTTAAATTTCACGCAAAACAAAAAAAAAAACTTAAGATATACGATATGAAAGATACTGAAAATCTAGTAGGTATCAACTGGATGCAAAAGTTCAACGTTTAGGATCTACCTATCAGCTCTTTTTGCAAAAAGTTAAAGGTTGAACCATCAGGTACCATAAAGTTAAAGGCAGAATTATATAACCAATTTCCTGAGGTATTTTTGAGCGGGTTGGGACGATGGAACAAATTTGTGGCCAGTATCAAATTAAAAGAAAACGTCCAACCAGTTTTTAAAAAGAAGCGAAACGTACCGTTCGCTACTATAGAAAAAATCGACAAAGAATTGGAGAGACTTGAACAAACTAGGATTCTTTTTAAAATAGAGTTTAGTGAGTGGGCGGCGCCGGTGGTTTTATGTATTTTTATGATCTGGTTCCTTGTACCACGGTGATAGTGCAAGGTAGAACCAATAAAGAACTAGAATACAGATATGGAATAACTCAGATATTACAAACAGGAATATATACAGAGAAGTAGAAAGGGTTAGTAGGAACAATCAGGTTTTAGTAGTATGCGCAGATTTTTCAAATGGACTTAATAAGGCTATAAAGACCATCATTACCATTTACCAAGACCAGAGGAGATATTTACAAAGCTCAATGGGGTAAGATATTTTCAAAAAAATAGATCTAAGTGAAACATTATCTACAAATCTTAGTACAAGAAGAGAGTATGAAAA